TCCCTAACAAAACTAAAGAAAGGCCCACCCACCTCTTGTTCTTCCCTCCACCATATCAACAATGCCACAAACTCACCCTCACTCACAAAAGCCCCACCGCCTCATTTGCTCTCCCAACCATTATCATTGGTTTGTTTGCTACCTCACACAAACAAATTTAAAACTAATTCGAATGCCGACGCAACCATCACAGGCAGCCCGGCGCCATCAGATGAGGCATCCCAGGAATAGGACTATTGGCTTGCATTCTACAACATGGTGGAGCTCTTTTTCAAATGAGGGAAAAAAAAAAGATTTTTCTTTTTCTATTTAAATGTCAGTGCCTCATTGCTCACAGATAGAGCATGCTAAATGCGGGTAACGTGCTCTTTACACAAAAACTTCACCTCGTCATTTACAGCCACTAGAGAAGAGGCGTACAGAAGAACTTGAGATATTTATTTACAAAGAGGTCAGCTGAAAATTCCCAGAGCCTTACTTCAAACTAAGCCGTGTGTGTTAACGTGGGAGATCTATGGAGCCTCTGAAGAATCCCACTAGCCTTCCTTTTGGCCCTTGAAGTCCCACATTGTGCGAGCTCGGAAAGCGTGCCCCTGGCTTTTTCTTCTTCTCTAATTTCCTTCCATTTTGTTCTATCAGTAAGACAGATTGTGTATAGGATTGCAACACAATTTTCCTTGCAGCTTTCGGATGTGCTCTCCCGCATAATACTGAGCAACAAGGGGACAGCACCAAGATCGCTCATTTCTTCAGCAGCCTTTGGATGGCTAGACAGGAGTGCCAGAATAGCCAACAACTCATCAACTAGAACACGGTCCATGATCTTGTCAAGGATAACCGGAACAGCTCTTTCTCCAACAGTTCTTCCTTTATTTTCATGAACCAAACATAGGTTGAAAATAGCAGAAGCAGCATCTTTCATGGCCAGTGGATGTCCCTCCTCCAAAAGCTCAATTAAATGTTTGATGGCCCCAGAATTTCCAATGATGCCCTTGTTGGAATCAAGTGCTGATAATGTGAAAATAGCTGCCGCAGCATTACTTCTTGCTTGGATGGTTCCAAATTTCAAGGACTCAATCAGCAGAGGGATGACCGTAGGACTCTCAGCAAACATTTTCTTATTATCATCATGAATTGAGAGATTTAGAACAGTAGTGATCAAGTCCTCGTGAAGGTCAGGAGGGACACAAGCCGTACCAGGTGACAATGGACTGAGCAACTGCAACATCACATCACTGGACTCATTAAAAAGGATTCGAAATGAGGGCATTCGCTTTGTTAATAGCCGGAGCTCTTTTGCAGCTGCTTTCTGATCAGAAATAGACATTGACAACTTCTTGAGCAATGAATTTAAATGGCTTCTGTCTGCACCAGTTATTACTTCTTCATCAGTATCCCGAACAAGCTTAGGCGACTCAACTCCATTCTCTCTGCACCAATGTGAAATCATGTCACGGACCAGATGATTTGGAGTAAGGATAGAGTGAGAAAGGACTTGCTGGGTTTGAGGGCATGTCCTGTGGCCTTCATTTAACCATCTTTGGATAAATGGCCGATCATAAGTCTGCAACATAAAAAAAATGAATTAAGGAACACTATAATGAGTAATTATGTCCATACTGCTCTCTGCTTCTATTCCTTCCATCTTTCACTCCTACAAAGCACACATGCGAAAAAAAATTTTAGACGCATGCATGGAAAATTGCTGACAGAAGCCAGTACTGATAGCAGCATCTGCCTAATAATAATAATAACGTCAATGATCTTTTTCTGCCAGTATTTCCTTTGACAAAAGAAATATCATGTGACTGAATCTCCGTCTCAAACAAGTGGGACTTACAACTACTAAACAAAAAATGGACATATAGTCCCTTATATTAACATCTTGATCCATCAAAAGAGAAATTTTCGAAAGAGCAAAATGGTTCGGAACACCCAAGCAAAGATTAAAGGCCGCAGTTTGAACAGCTCTGTTCTCTTTCACTTTTGTAAAAGTCACATGAACCCGCACAATGGTAGAATTATATGCAAAAGGAAACACCAGTATTTTGCCAAAGATGAGTATTGATATTATCATAGCAATGTTCACTCGGTAATCACGGGTCAAAAGCAACGCATCAGAGAAAATTTTTTTAAACAGTGATTCCATATCCATTCACATCGTAAGGCAAGCAGTGAGCACAGGACGTGGACAATTAAAGTCACCACGTGAAAAATTCATTGCCAGCAGAGAACAAATTCATGAGGAATTCTTAAAAATAGATTGGTAATACAAGCAGAGATAGAGAAGGCGCCTAAGAGATGAACAAGAGACGGGGAATCTACAGGATTAGGATGGAAAGAGGACAAGAAACCGGAATTTAAAAAAAATAACCTGTCCGGTGGCCAGGACAACAGGATCATTCATTAGAGCTAGAGATATGGGGCATCGAAATTCCGGGGGAATAGACAAATCATCGAACTTCTGAGGGAAGGAGCCGGTAGATTTACATTTCAAATCCTTGAGAGCAGAAAGAGTTGTAATAGCTTCGTCAAGTCTGGCAAGCGGGAAATCGTCGGCGTCCAGGATAATATTGATGAGCCCCCGCAGTTTGTGCTTCAAGTCCAAAGCCTTTGCATGGGGAAACGAAGTTGAGTCGTTTTCAGAGACGCCTGTCTTCGCCATGATGAGAAGAAAATAAAGGAGGCGAGGAAAAGCGAAGAGATGAAGAAGAAGGGAGGAATTAAAGGGGAAGAGGGAGGAAAATAGAGAGGAAGGGTAGGTGTTGCTTCATTATCTGGCTGCTCGGTTCTTGGTTTGCTTGCTGGATTGTAAACAGCCCAGAAGCAGCAGCATAACTGAGTTGGATTTGGGACTCACTCTCCTTTCAAAGCCATTGCAGCCACTCGCGGGTGCTCCATGCCTGTGCTATGCATTATGCAATCCTTTCCTTGTTTATCCCATTTTTGTCACAACCTGGTCCGGACACTTGTTTTGTCGAACTTTGGTGTGACAGTTTTATTAAAGTAACATATTCAAATAAGACATATGAAAATAATAATTTACACAATATTTATTGATATGTCATATAATATTTATTCATATGCGTACCCAACCGATATAATCTCGTACATGGCCAACCTAAACATTGTTTATTATTTATTACAAATGATCAAAATCATTAAGTACGATAGATTAATTGTCAAACAAAATTAACACAAAATAACATAATCTTAGATTGTTGCCAGAATAAAAAGAAAAGAAAAACGGGTATTCACCTTAGCGCTGTTTCCGTTACATGTTGGGACCGGACCATAGGTCAGCTCCTGATCAAACTGGCTGATCCTCCGATCTGGTTTATGCCACTAAAAATTCTTCGTTCACCGTGATTTCGAATTTGTCTGCAACATAATGGTTTTCTTAGTGGACGATACTTTCTTAGTTCATTTGATATTTATTTTGATTTTAAATATAAAATCCTAATATATTTTGTCTATCATATTTATTTATTTATTTTAAAATATTTTTTATAATAATTACACATATTAAAAATTTCATCAAATAGTAGCTTTAACTAATACACATAATTAACAAAGATATTTTAAAAAAATATATATTTATTACAAATAACTAATTTAACTAATTTTCTTAATCTACTCAAATTAGTCAACAAATTCTTGTTTGATAATTGCTCTTTAGATAAGATTCACTGGGTTCCGAAATTTTCACTTCAGTTTTCAACCCTGAAACTAAACAGGTTCTTGTACCTGCACTTCAAAAATTTTGCTACATACAAAAAGAAATTAAACAATTTCAATGTTTATTAAAATAAGCTTTTTTAATAATTAAAAAAATTAATAATAAATTTGATTTTTTTTCTTTTGGGTACTATGAGAAGATATCTAAATAAATATATGACATTTACAACAAGTCATAACAGTTACAAACATGTTAAGCATTAACGAATGTGGTTATCAATGGGGCACCTTACCTATTTTAAGTTGTATGAGACGGGCTATATTGGAGACCCCCGGCATGTAGCAGCGTTTTGATTCTCAGTTATCACTGATTCACTGTTAGTCGCCTGGCTGCGGCAGCATTGAATCGTATTCCCATACTCTCTCCGTATTAAATATAGGACTTCCAATTATTTCACGCATTTGAAAAAAATTGGTTGGATATAATTAATAATTAAACAATTTCAGTTCATGTTTTTTTTTTTAGGTTGAAAGTACGCCCTTGCTGCTAGGATAGTAAAGTACTGTTAGGATAGTACTACCTCTTTTTTGTCTCATCCCAAAAGTACTGTGAGGAAAGGGGTATGAGAAGAAAATTTGTCTTGCCGTGCCACTTAACATTGGGCAGTTTGACATCCTCCTCCAATCACTTAAGAAAAAATATTTTCATATTATAATATCACCTTAAAAAGCTAATCCAAATACCTATATTGCGTATTTGAATGTCCATTCAAAACAAGCCCAAAAATGGCTAGCTGTTTTTTAGCTATCTATCAAGCATAACCCTCATGTCCTATATATTAGGCATGTTTTGAAAGAAAGAAAAAGCCATTCTAAATAGAAGACGTTGTTTAAATAATTTAACCATCAACATTCATTTTGACACAAGTATGATTCCCTGAAAAACATGCTGAAAATCTTCCATAGTAATTCTAAAGTCTTCTCTAGTTAAATAGCAGAACAAACACATACAAAGCCTTCCAGCAAATTTAAAATCATCAGAGATGAAACATGAACATGAAAACCAAAAGTATTCCACTGGAAAACCAACGTATTATACATGCCAAACTAATAAATAGGTAGACGCTACGCTACCTATGTCAAGATGCCTTATGAGGGAAAACATGTTGAGATAAGACCATTACATGTCCTGAAACCAAAATACCACATTTTAATGAGTTCAGCCAAGCCAGTTCCCGATGTTTCACTGAGACATGAATTACAAATTCAAATGCCCAACCACGTAATCTTTCCTGGTATAAAGCATCAAAATCACGCCAGTATGACATGCCTCCTCACGGCGGTGATTTGGCATGATGTTCAAGTTAAATCTTAGGCAATGATGGCTCATCCAGTCACCAAACACTGCCCTCCCATTTCGTCATCCGAACGGGAGCCAGTGTTCAGGTATTATGATCAATTACATGCAAATTAAACAGTCGAATACATATATAGACACGCCAGTTACATCAGATTACTTACACAATAAGAACGTCAAGGAATTGGGAAGAAGCACGGCACTAGTTTAGGCCCCTTTCTGTGGCAAGGTTTCAAAAGCAGAGACCGTGTTCTCAAATTTAATTCTATGGAGCGGAGCACCACTTTGCTTGATAGCACAAGCTGTCTTTTCTTCCAAGGGACAGCGTGCTTTCAGCATAGAGAATACATGGTTGTTTAATCTCCTTGCTTTCTTCATTGCTTCCAGTAACGCATCCCATCCCTGTTGGCAGAGAAAATGTGACTGTCACGCAAGATATCTCTTGGTGATTTCAATGCTTTTTTTTTTTTTTAATATAAAAAAGCATTGAAATCACCACACACATTTCTAGATCTTCATATCTATAATGAACTTAATCGATCACATCGCTGCTTATTACTCATCTGACACTGAGACGATTCAACAGGCTCCCCATCCCCATCTGTCCTATATCTGATTTCTTCTATACGAGGTAAAAAGATCGCCTAATCTTTACTCATTATATTAGCAGATTCACCACGTGCACCTATTAACGATTTAGACATGATGCTAATTGACAGACACCACCAAATGAGGCAAGGTACCAGAAATGTTAACAACAAACTGCCATCCATCCCTTTTTATCAAGCCTAATTGCTCATCAACGGAACAAACACATGCATTAATCTAATAGATGAAAGCTATTAAACATTATTTATTCTTAGTTCAAGTAATTAAGCATTGTAAACCTGTACATGAAAATGCGAGTTCTTATTTGTTGGAAACACAGATGCAGCCTCTACTTCTGCAATATTGAGGATCTGATATGAGAAGTCGAAGAGCTCAAAATGCAGCTGTTGCCCAAGCAAATATATTACGGTGCAGCCACCCCAAGCCACTGAATCACCCAGCCTTTCATGACTATTTGCTGGTACTTGGACAGATGCTTCTAAATATCCCTGCGTGGTTCAAGCACACTAACACTCATCAAAATATCTTTTTTCTTATTTAAAAAAAAAAAAAAACTGCCATTTCATGAACACATTAAACAATCAAATCTTGTGCAGTTAAAGTATGAATTTTAACATTTTAAAAGGAGAAAGACATGACATCATTAACACAAATTCCTATTAAAAACTCTCAACAACAAACATGGCGAAAATTTATGTGGAGACAATAATACGTCATTTAAATAGAAAATGGTAGTTGATGGTTCTCCTATGACTGAAACTTTGCAACGTTAGCGAAGGAGAATATGTGCGCCAAGTGCTGCCATTAAAAATCAAATAAATAATTAAATGCTCTGGCTATATTAAAGACAGTATAAAGGAACAGAATTTATTTACAAGTTGGAGACCACTGTATATGCGGTAGAAATCTTTAGTAGTTGTAATGTCAATGAAGCCTGTCTTGGGCACAGCACTCCATTTGCTACAGTATTTATCTAACGCAGCACTTGTGAAAGCAAGGGCATACTCCAGCACGCTTCCAGTATTCAAGTTAGCCTTGTATAAAAGATCTGTAGCAGTCAAAAATGCCTGATTAACAAATGACGAGAGACCAAAACAAAAGGACCTTTCAAGAAAGGAAAAACAAAATGAAATGAAATAATTCATAACAGCATATCGACAAATCTTTTTGGTAGTCTGTCAAATCCACAAGTCGAAACATCTTTTGCCATAAAATTAACCATTCGAATATTACCTTAAAAAAGAATTACCGAGAAAGGCTGGACACATGATGTAATCTAACTGATTCATCTCTCTATCACTTGGGAGGAAAAAGGTAGACAAGGAAACAGAAGTGCTTTATAGTCCCCCCCCCCCCCCCAAGGCTCAGTAGTTGAAAGGGCAGAAAAGTACCAAATATCAGGAAAGTCAAATTGACGTTGCCTTAACTAAGAAGATACATTTTCAATATCTTCCTGACCAGGAGGTGTGCTGACAAGACACAAGCTAAAAGCTTCACGCTCCTATATAGGATTCTATTATTGCCATCAATGGTCCTGATCAAAACAACTTGCTAGACAGCAATTCATTTTGCACCAACATAATAATACCCATTTTAGTTTTAACTGGACAACTTTCCTACATAAAGTCATAATTTCCTTCATTCTCTTAACCTTTGAGCAATTCCTTATAATCAATCACGTCCTGATTTACAAGATCATACAACAATTTATTTTTATGGCATTAAGTGCATATGCACATATTCCACCTTCAGTGAAATGAAATAAAAATAACAACACATATCTAATAGCATACCTGCAGCTTCTGCTTGTTTTGCCATGATGTGGAAAGAATTAGGGTTTGGGCATCCCGGGCTTGACACCATCGCAGCAGTTGTTGATCTAAAGAGATTAACAACAGGGCTGTCTCCACCATCATGAGCATTTAACACTTGTCCGTCTGCACCAGGAACCAAGCCCAACCAAGGAGCAGTTTGCATGAAGTGCATTGTATCTCTTTCTCTCTGTCAAGCATATAATATATACTGCTAAGATTTGCAGCCAAAGTAGCCCGCACAGAAAAACTGTTTTGCTTTAGGAAAGTAATTGATGAGTAAAGAAATAAATACATCAAACAAGGAATTCTCCCAACAACCCCCCCCCCAAAAAAAAAAGCAATAATTTGTTCAAATGATATTGTTAATTCCCTTGTAAATCCACATGGGAAACCCCCCGGAAAGCCATTTGCTGAAATCCACAGAATATGCATTGCTTAGCTGTTGCGCATAATATAAATGAAAAATGTTTGCGTATGTAGTTCTGCTATTTTTTGCATCCAAATTAAGTAGAACCATATCACGATAATGCTGAACAATATCATTTTAGTATCCATAATCATTGAAAGTATTATATACAGTTAAGGGCACAAGATTACCAACCAACACAATATCTAGAAGGCCCATCCAGTATAGTACACTTCCAATCTCTTTAATCCCACGGAGAACCTCTGCTTTCAGCTCGGACTTTGCCCCCCAGTTAAGATGTTCTTTAACAAGCCTCACACAGGCTGCAAGAAAATAACCAAATAATTAATTTCAAATGCTTGAGTATAAAATTCAGTAAAAGGCTATGTAAAAGCATTGTCATTGTTGATATCATGAGTTCATGATAATAACCATGAAATGGAAAAAAAAAAGAGTAATAAAGATTTAAGAAGTGCTAATACCTAACAAAGATCCAAATATTTATGATTATCTCAACAACTGTATGCAAGTGTCAAAATTCAGGTGTCTAGGGTCGATAGTACAAAATTGATGGTAAAATTAATAAAGATGTTATACATAGGATATGAGTTAGGTGGTCAAATAAAAAGAGATAAGGAGTTATCAACATGTTCATGTACCTGTCACACCTCCGTCGAAAGGCAGAAGTCCGATAGTTTTCGGCAATGATTCTTGCAATCCAGTGATCATTGGTTCAATCATAGTTATCTGAGAGTAGCGCACATAAAATTTACTGATGCATGGAATTTTTCTTACCCCAGATC